AGCTCTGCCCTCACGTCCCCAGGGCCTTACAGCACCATCCCCTCAGCTCTGCCCTCACGTCCCCAGGGCCTTACAGCACCATCCCCTCAGCTCTGCCCTCACGTCCCCATGGCCTTATAGCACCATCCCCTCATAACTGTCCTCACAGCACCATCCCCTCAGCTCTGCCCTCACGTCCCCATGGCCTTATAGCACCATCCCCTCATAACTGTCCTCACAGCACCATCTCCTCAGCTCTGCCCTCGTGTCCCCGCAACCATACAGCATGATGCCCTCACCACCACGCTGTGTCCCCTGACTGTACAGCACTAACTCACTGTGTGACTTTGAGCAAATCACTTAACCTCTATACCTTATTTCCACCCCTTCCCTATCTGTAAAATGAGGCTAACAATATGATTTACCTCAGAGGCTGTTGTGCAGCTTCATGAATTAAGGTCTGTGATGCAATTTAAGATTCGTGGATGGAGGAGCTGTAGAAGTACAGAGCATTGTTATTAATTATATTAGTCAATTAATGTATTATTATTACTAAACCAATTTTATTCTCATGACTCGAGAGGGTTGTTTTGTTTTATTTTATTTTAAGCTCTCTTTTCTGCCATTTCTTTGCTTCTCCTCGTGTAAAGAGTTACTTTCACACTGGAGAAAATTTAATGAGAAGCTTAATCACAAATATAATAAATTGCCAGTAATTTCTGATATCCCATCTACTATTACTGAAACATTTGCATTTGAATAGGGACTTTTTTCCATCATAATTCAGCTTCACCTTGAACCTGCACTATAATCATCAGCCTGCATTTATGAAATCATAGAACGTTGCCATAGAAATTATGTCACAAATTCATCATTATGACTCCCCCTGCAGGTGCAATTGAAGCTGAAGATCAGCTGTAAGAGTTACCTTTTTACAAGCTCTGGTATAAAGATATTTTAATATTTTGAAAAGATATAGAACTGAGATTAACCATCATAGGAAATTATTCCTACATGTCGTAAGTATCAGATACAAGATTCCTCTATAAATTGCAGATGCCATAAAATATGATCAAGAGACTTTATGGGAGGATGATTTTCAAAATCAGCTCCTAATCTCTGAAAGGTTTCCATAAAAACAGACCATTAGCTAAAAAAAAAAACAATACATTCAAGGTCCCAAACACAGAAACAGTATTGCAATTGTGAAGTTACAGACAACATATTCCAGTTAGGAAGGCTCATCCATCAAAATGCTGAAAGGGATGGGTACATTGTCCTGCACATTGCTGTGATAACCTGATAAGTAGTTAGCTACCGTGGCAAGAAAAATTCACAGAGTGAACTTTAAGGTAAATAATTTATACTTAAAATATTTTAGAATTTTCCAGTAGGCTAAAAGCCTGTTTCTCCTACTTCTCAAAAAATGATCGGTGTTATATTTCTAATGAGAACCATTAAAATACTTTTACAATGCGGAAAACCTTAAAACAAATAATATTTATGCTATCAGGAAAGAACTCTGCTAGTAAGTTTATTGTTATCCTTCCTAATTATTGAAAATAATCCACGTTGGACAAAAGAGCTGTCTCTCTCACAGTTAAAGCTGAGAAAATCTTTCAAAAAGAAATCAGAAACATTGATTAGTAGTCCAGTGCTTGAGTTCATCAGTTCCAGGGAAACAAGCAAATGTTTAATATAACTTTGGGCCACTTAACTTGGATAAATTTTGCAGATGCTTGTGTGTCTGTCTGTGTGCGCACGCAAACAGTGGCATATGTGCACTGTCTCAATGTGGGTGAAAACATACAGATCACTTTGGAATGCACATTCTGAATTGGGACTGGTCATGTGGCAAAAATGAGGCAAGAAAAATCATAGCTGTGATATATGCAAGCCTCCCTTCCCTAAGACTTTTAAGCCCCCCGAACCTGAAATCTGTTCCATCTAGATGGACCCCTACCCTACACCCATGCAGAGCCCTGTTGAAGTGCTATATGCGAGGGTTTCCCCATGCAGCTCAAGTTGCAGGATCAGGGCCTCAGTGATGGAGCCATGACAACTTTTCCCATTCCAAGAGTATGTACAACAGCACATCTTGGGTGTCAGAGCCTCTTGCCGGGTATGAGTAAAGAACAGGCTCTACTGCTCTGTGCTCTGGGCCCCAGTTCCTGGAGTCATATGATAATGTCAGAATCTCAGTTTTCATCAACAAAAGTAAGTTTCCAGTTCTCACAAAGAAAAGTTTGAAACCTGATCCGAGCATGACTGTCGCAGTGACAACTGCCTGGGTCTTCAGATAGCCTGGAACACTAGCTCCAAAAGGGGCAAACGGCCCCCATCTGGATGGGGTGTCCCACCAACACCTCCCTTCTCTCCCAAACTGAGAGACTCCTGCTGCTACTCCTTGGGAAAAATAGGCACCATGCTCCTTCCTCTGCTTCTCTGAGCAGGGAGGAGGGCCTTCTGCCATTGCCACACTAAAGAGGTGTGATCACAGCATGAGGACTAAGCCACAGAGTGCCCCATATTGTGCTGTTCATAGGTCCCCAGATTGCCTTAATCCCATCCTGCCCCTGACTCTTCCATCACTAAACCCTTGGTAAGAGTGAAACTGGGTTAATAGGGCACCTTATTTACCCCTTTCCAGCACCAACACCATCATTCCTTAACTCCTGGCTTTCCAATAAGCTAAAAGGTTAAAGTGCCTGAATTGTTTTACAGTGCAGAATCCCTATTAAACGTGACAAAATCTTAATCTTAGTCATAACCAGTTGACCATTATTGTCCTGTTGAAATGTATGTATCATCATAGTATATGAAGTTATGAGGCTTTGCTACATGTTTGTTACTGACACATGTTGTGAGTCTGGGGAACATCCACAGTCTAATCCAGGGGTGGCCAAATTTATTGGCCCCCCGAGCCACATATGACAAGCTTCAGAAATTTGAGAGCTGGGGCATACTTGCCAAGGGCAGGGGTTGTGGTTGTGGGAGGTGCCTGACGGGGTTCGGGGCTTCAGCCCCGCTCCTGCTGAAGCCCCAAGCCCTGGCAGGTGCGCCCCGCTGGGCTGAAGCCCCAAGACCCCCCTCCCCACTGGGCAGATGCCCCTACTGCACCATCCCGCTGCAAGGCAGAGGTCCTGAGCTTCCCACTCCCACAATATAGAGCTTTGTTGGGAAAACTACC